CTTTAATTTAAAAAATGTTTGTTAACTTCTGATGAACTCCAAAGTTAATACAAAGTAGACTCCCCATTCATGTGTCACAGTAACTCTTTGCTACAGCTCTTCCAGTTTGAAATTACTCTTTCCAGAAAATGAGTATGTCCATGCCATTACACACAAGCTTTTACTTCCCATTTGTACAAAGACATTGACACTGTTTTATCTTTATTGAGGAATACCACAACAGACATACCTATTAGATTGTTTTGGTTTTTGTTTGGTTGGTTTTGTTGGTTTTTTTTCATGGCCACATCAGTTTTGTGGCTCATAGTTCCCTTAGATGAAATTAATCTCACACAGATATATCTAAGTACTCATGCTAGGGTTCCTTTATGGTCGATTTAGAGAAACAGGCACTAAGAAATCACTAATCTTGCCAAATATCTATTTCAGGATTGAATGGACTATGCCATAAAAGTGCTGCCTATTTCTCCCAGTTGACTGTAATGGCATACATCTGTCTTTGGTCAAATGAGTTTCTTTTCTTGCAATCAGTGAATAGGTCTTTCCCATGTCTGTCATACCTATCCAATAAGATCTAGGAAAAAATCTCTATATATCTTGAGTCAGTGTGATTAAATTTAATCTGATTCTTTTCTTCAGTTCTCAATGTTACCTCACTCTTCTTTTATAATATCCCAGTTCATCCTCTTTGAATATACCCCACAAATTTATGTTAAAACCAAATGTTATCCACAGTTTCTTATTTTCAGACCCATGTCAAAAATGAAGTTGCTAAATAAGATCCTTCCAAACTGACCCTTGATAAAACTAGGAATAACCTGAAAACAAAGGATTCCATATCTACACAACTTAATTAATTAATTTACTAGTTAAAAAATCTCATGTAAGTAACTTTTGTGAAATAGTTACTTTTACCTCTGCCAGTTTTTGCAGCCATTTGTTCCTTCTCCCAGTCATCTTTATTGTTGCTTCAGTCAGTCCTTTTCATTACTTTCTCATATTACATACTCTTGAAGGAGAAATTAAGGATGTGCATTTCACAAACCCTTTCTTTCACCTGCTATTCAAAATCTCTTATTTTCTATGCTCTGGACACTGAGATTGGACTCCTTTGACTCTATGTTGATATAAATGGTCCAGAAAGCTGAACCAGAGTTTATCAGTGTCAGCTTCTTGTCTAGCCTCTTGAGAGAAATAGGCATTTCTTAATTTCTCTTTAAAAGTTCCTACATTTTTAAGAGTAGATGAGAGTCATTGTACAAGGTGACTAAACGAAATCTTTCCAATGACTGACTGTTCATTTTTAAGTTTCTCAGGTAAACTGTCCACTAATAAAGCATGGAGACTGGAATTCTCCATCAGAAATCCAAGAAAATTAATCTGACACAAACTGTTTGAAAATTCTCTTTCAAAATGTGTAACTTTTTAGCAAAAATAATTTTTGCACCATTTTCAGAAAATATGCTTTTTCATAGTTTTGCCCCCACATCTCCCTTTATATACTGTTTCTTTTTTCAAAAAATAAATTACTGTGCATTATTGATTACATAATTATCCACCACAGCCTAAATGAAATAAAAAAAAAATAAGCCTAACAGACCTGAAGAATAATTCTCATCTTCATGGGAGTTGTTTTCAGCTTGGCAATGATCTCAGAAATAAATGTTGCAGTTTTCAAAAAGGATATTTCAAGGCTCTGGAGGCCAAAAATATTTTAGGATATTTCAATTTAAATGGATAAGAAAAATCCACTGAAAACCATCCACATTGGAATGAAAGTAAATTTATAAAGTAAGCCAACTGGAAATTCCTGTTTTGTCCAAGTTCACTTAAGACATATGAGTCAACATCTTTTTTTCTGTATAAAAAGGTATAAATAATTTGAGACCTTATATTTAGATATCAGTGGAAAGTATAACTGTATGCCATACTCTTACACATCCCAGTTGCAATAGATTGAGAAAGACTTTTTGGTCTTACTGAAGTTGTGGCATGTTTAATGAAGTGTTCTTTAGTCAATAAAACACCTACGTTTATAATCACTTACAATTAAAGGAGATTATTTCATAAGCCTGTATAAGAGTATTAGCTTTTTGCTGTGTCAGAAACAACATGCTCAATATTTTGCAAAACTGAACTCTGAATCAGTTATAAAACCTTCCTGTGGCATTTAATTTTTTCTGGAATTTCTCTGACAAATTAAAACCAGAATCAATATTATTTAACTTGTATTTGATTAGATGACACCCAAAAATCATATAAAGAAGTTACATGGTTAATGTATAGTAAATCTTTTCACTATTTATTGAAAAAAGCATTTATTAAGTTGTGATATTGTTCCTGCATTATATTGCTTGCAAGTGTTTTTTACATCTAAAAATGATAAAGGGTAAGCATAAATTACATTTAGAAAAAAAAATTGTCTTGCTTTCCAGGAGTATATTGCTGTCAGATAAACTGATGCTGTACTCTTGGTTTTGATTTTTTTTTTTTCTTTAATACTGAAAGTACTCTATTGAAAAATTAGGCAAAGATCTCAAAAACAAAAAGTCCTGATATCGTTCTTATGTAAGTCCAAAGGTAGAGAATATGAACAGCCATTTCAATGGGTCTGAATTGTGTTCATGAGTTCCTCTGATTTATCCTTCCATTGGCCCTTCTAGGAGAGTACCTTTTTTTCCTTTTTGCCCCTTCTTCTATATTTCATTTCATGTGTCTATCGAGGCTATGAAAGATAAAGCTATTTGCTTTCTCCTGTAGTAAAGAACTATATGGAATCAGTTCACCTGTCTGTCACTCCTCATTAAATTCTTACCCTCTTCATTCACATTCTGATCTTTGCAAATGAACATTTGCTTAATAAATGTTCCCAAGACTAACAGTGCAGAGTGAAAATCCCACACAGCAGTAAATTATTAACTCAGTCACAGGGGGAGTGCCATATATGACTTTTCAGAATGAGTTATTATGTGGATCATCATGTAATTATGAATTTTTCAAGCCATGATAGAGGAAAATTGAATATTTAATATTTTATGGACATATTCTGCACTGAGGACATCTTTCAAAATTTTATGATAATTTTTGGAGTGAGCAAAGAGCAGAACAAAAGTTACAAAATAATTACAAAGTAGAATATTTAATCACCATGGACATTGTTGGCGATTTCTCAAATTGCATAATATAATCAAGGTCATGAACTTTTAATCACGACGTATTCAAATGGAAAAAATATGTGCATTAAAATTAATCTACAAGTATGTTTTGATTGTTTAAGAAATGAGAATATGAGGCTTCATACTTTATTGTACAATAGGTAGAATGTTGTAAATATTCATGGCAAGCCAACGGGCTGTCAAATGTCCCTGAATAGTCATGAATTGCCCTTACATGGGGCATTTAGAAATACAGCAACATGAACATAAACCTATGTTGCCTGCTCCAGGAATTCTTGCTACGAGCTGGGAACGTGAGGGGTGGCAGTGCAGGTGCCTAAGCATAGTTGTTTAGCACAATTTTAAACATCCTGGGGTATTCACAGCATCCACACGAGATAACACAAGATCTGTGGGAGACTAGAGCCCTTCTGAAGCAGCAGCTGGATTCCAGGCAGAATATCCTAAGGCATCTAAACAATATTAGACACCTATGTTCAGGCCTTTGAATCACTCTCTAGGAGTCGAACCTGAAACCAAGGGTGTTTTAAATAGCACTAAATTCCCACATATGGGCAACAGACTCAAGCTGTGAACTTTGTAAAGCAAGAATCACTAAGGAGATGAAAACATTTAATTTTTGTTCTGATAAATATTTTGAAGAGAAAAGAACATTTCTAAGGCTGTGTTTCCAGGATTGGGAGGGGAAATAAATGATCAATCACTCCAAATAAACCAAATCAGATGTTGATTTTTGCACTTTAATAACCAGTCATCAACTTAGTGCAAATACACCATAAGAGACACAAGCAGTGTTCTTTTCCTTAACAGTCACTTATCCTTTGCCAGAAAACCTGCCAAAAACTAAGGCAAGGGAAGTATGAAAGCTTGAGAAGCCCATAGAGCAAAACAAAGTATATATAGTAAGTACAAAGTATATATAGTAAGTACATATTAATCTGGAACTACTTGTGGGCTCATCCATATTTACAGATGTCTTAATTCTATATATTTTAATTTGTTTAAATTATGTCCATTATTAAAAGGTATCTTTATACCACATGTAAAATAATTCACAGTTAAAATATAAATTGTATTCACCATTCCAGATTCCAAGGCACTAGCCTGACTTCATTTTCCCAGAAGGGTAAATGATGGCAGTTAAAAGGTTTGGACCAGAATGACTCTACACTGGCAGTGTGTTTAAGTCTTAGTCACAAAGGGCATACTAAAAAAACATAGTAGAGAAGCGGACAAGTGGGTACCATCCAGATGCTGAGAGGGTCCAAGCCATAAAAATATTGGAAAGAAATATTTTTTCTTCAATATCTCAATGCTTGAAAATTCCCACATTGCCTTGATTCATGACTATTTGCTTCCAGACAAAAATGCTTCATGATCTTGCAAAGTGAATGAATGAAGGCAGGTCCTGTGACATGCTGAGCTGAGAGGAACTACTCAAAAATTTCAGTGTAATATATTCTCTTACTCCAATAAGATTGTATATATCTCTTTGGGGTTGCATATAGACATGTACATACATTTATATAGAGTGTAATATGTAATTTTCAATATGACATACTACTGAGCATCTACCTGACCACTGCTGTGTTCTTTACTCCAATGATATCTCTCAACATCATTCAGAATGAGGCACTTGTAAAATCTGAATCATCTTTTAATTTTTAAAACAAAGTTATAAGGCATCTAGGTGAAAAAGAAAATATTTATTATTTTAAGGTACAAATGAATCTACACTTTATAAAATGCTAGGAGCCAAGTGCTGAATGTCAAGTGTGTGATTACTGTATATAATAGCAAGAATGATATTTCTTCTCTTTGCAGGAACATCATTGATAAATGGCCTGGCTCATGTCCTATGATGATGTCAATAATGATAACAATTCCAGTCCAGGTAATTATAGTTTTTCTATTTGTAATTACACTGGCAGTTTCAAATGTCATACGGGGAGCGGCTGAGGGAACTGGGGGTGTTTAGTCTGGAGGAGGCTGAGGGGAGACCTCATCGCCCTCTACAGCTCCCTGAAAGGAGGGTGCAGAGAGCTGGGGATGAGTCTCTTTAACAGAGTAATAAGCGATATGACAAGAGGTAATGGCCTCAAATTGCACCAGGGAAGGTTTAGACTGGATGTTAGGAAGCATTTCTTTACAGAATGGATTGTTAGGCATTGGAATGGGCTGCCCAGGGAGGTGGTGGAGTCCCCATCCCTGGAGGTGTTTAAGAGTCAGGTCGACATAGCGCTGAGGGATATGGTGTAGTTGGGAACTGTCAGTGTGAGTTTAATGGTTGGACTGGATGATCTTCAAGGTCTTTTCCAACAGAGACGATTCTGTGATTCTGTGAAATATAGACAATATATTTTGCTGTTTCTAGTTTCAATTATGTGTTTGCGTAACTACATGCTATTAAATAATTGCTCTCTGAAAATAACTGACTGTCAGAGAAAAGTGTATGAAGGGCTTGGGAATGAATGACATGCAAAAGCATGATTGCTATTAACATTTTGGAATAGTACATGCTTGCTTAATGTTCACCAAATAAACTTTTTCATATCTTTGCCCATGAAATTAAATAACTGGTATGAGGTTCAGAAAAGCATGTCATCTATGTCTGCTAGCTAGTGCAAGATTTTCATGCCTCTTCCACCGACTCTGTCTACAGAATGGATCTACAGAACAAACATCTTGGCAATCATTTCTGCAATTCTTTGCAGAAGTGAAGTTTCAAGTTTTCTCACTGTCAGTATCCTCTGGCCCTGACAGTCCGCATGGACATGTGGTAGGCCACAGTGATGTCCTGCCCCATGCATGAATGACACAGAGCCAATTCTGCCCCATCAGTGGCACTCCAGGGACTTTTATATGCTAATGAGTGTTTCTAGCTATAGTAGCAGAACAGCAATCACAGATGAATGCCCAGGTGGATTTCTTTGTTTGCCTAGGCATCTCGCTTCATGATTTTATATAGCAAAGAACCATGGTGTACTTTTCAGGATGCCTCTGGTGATGAATCTTCTGCAACCTGTTCAGGAATGTAGATTCCGTGAGCTTACTAAGTGTGAAGTGTCTCCTATTGAAATCAAAGCCAAAACCTTTACTGTACATGTGAAGCGCCAGCACTAGGTCCCAGAGCCAGTCTCAGATCACCAAAGAAAATGATCTATATTGTTAGAGAGCAGTGTAGAGTACCATATAGAATACTATAAAAAAACGGATATTTTAAGTAAGTGGGGTCTGACTGGGAGTCACTTACTAACAAAGAAAAATGGATGCCCTATTTTTTCAAAGGCACAATATCCAAAAGCTTTATTTTTAGTATTAAAAAACGCTGTTCCCAAATACAGTGAATGGAACAAAGTCCTGACTGACAAGGGACACGCACAATACCCCCTACTACATTAGTGTTTTCTTTGAATAGTAAACAAAAGCCATATTTAGCACTTCCATAACACTTTATATGCTCAAAGGACTTCACTAACTATTACTGGCATATCTAGATGCTTCTTATATGCAAATGAATGCAGATATGAGAGTAGGCATTAGGAAGCAGGATATTAGAATACATTAGCAAACGGACAATAGAAAACAGCTGGTTTGACTAACTGTGGAGGATCTGAGTAGGGAGTAGTGGAGAGCACAATTCACTGCCCAGAATTATGGAAAGAATTGTGCTAATTGCCATCATGGCTTAGAAACTCATCACTTAATTAGCAATATAAATATTTTAAAAAGTAACATTTTAGAAAACCACAATAAAAGGTTCCATTGTGAGAATGGGAAAGGATTAATCCACAGTTGGCTGGACTGATAGCGCCCAGCCTTCATTCTCTTGCCTTACAACAACACACTCGGTGAGAATTAATACAACACAATTCATGCCCTGTCATGTCTCATTACTTAATTATGAAATGTCTGTAGTACTTTGGACATTACTGAACTTGTTTGATTGGCTGTGACTGATGTCATACCCACTTTAATAGTAGCCAGTACATGCATGGATAAGCCTGTCCCCCTCCTCACAATTTTCCTTCTTTCTATTCATGAATTCTATTTCATAACAGTAATAATATACTCCAGGCAGTGCATTTCTAGGGAATTATTGCATTTCTCAAGTGGGTAAAGTCATCTGGCCTTTCAGCCTTATGCCTTACAACACCTTCCTAGGCATGTTATAATTGCCAAGAAATACACTATATCTTGTGTATTATAATTCTTACATGCCACTGTTTCTTTCTCACTCAACTAGCCCAAATAGACTCCAATAGGAAAAGAGAATTTGTCAGGTGCATTTTTTTAAAATGAGTCTCTCAGATATATTTGCAAGACTTGGAGTGTCTCATGCACATATAATTTAAATGCATTAATTTACAAATATTAATCATTTAACATCCTGTATAAAATATAATGGTCACATTCTCATATCCCTTGACAATCCCAGAGCACTGTCTCCTATGTCTCTAAGGTAGGAGCAGCACAAGATGACACACTTGATTTAATAAGAGCACAGAGCCAGATGCAATGATATGATAGAATGCTTAGATATTTTAAAGTGAGATGCTGTGGCATAAATATATCTTAAAAGGAATCATTTTTGTAAAGCAATCTCTGAGTCTAATGACTGAAGAAAGTACAGGGTATTCTGCTCAGTTTATGGTAAACTACTAAAGTAAAAACTTACTTTAGATAGGAAGATAAAATAATTTAGACATCAAAAATAAATATCCTCAGATTTAACCAGGAAAAATTCTGATATTTCTAGCCCCTCCACCACAGAATTTTGACAGACTCACTTATGGATCAGCAGAGTTGGGATGAAATCTCAGTCAACTTTATCTTTTCTGAGTTATTAGGGTACACTTTTGAAGTTATGATTCAGGCTGCCATGAATACTTTGTAGTCCTATAGTAATTTTCAAGCAAATATCTCTAATAACTCGATGAGCTTTAATGAATCAAGCCTTCTGGCAAAGTCCAAAATGAAGGTCAATTTAGTAGAAACTAAATTGTGGCAGTTTGCTAAATTAGCACATTTTATACCTGTAATTATGAAATAGGAAACCACTCTCCTACCAGAGTCAAATATTCTTCCAGTAGTTCCATTCTTTATTTTTTCCTCCCGTGGAGGTGACACCTCCCATTGCCTGAACTAAGGCTGCCCTAGACTTAACCATAGTATATGTGAAATTGGAGGATGACTGGGTAGTTAAACACAATGCTGTGCCTTAGGGTGCTTCATTTCTGCCCCATCCTGGCCTGGACTTCCCATGTCTGCTACAGCCATACTTCAGATGTAAAACAGTACTGCACGAAGTGCTTCCTCTGAAACACCCAGCTAGAAGTGGTGACTTTGTGTCTATTAGAGTTAGCTGATAAATAAAATTAAGGCCACAGCCAAAAATTAACGTATTTCAGCAGCTGGAAAGTGCACACATTTATGCCATCTATGGCAAAGGACTGTTAAAGCTCTGAAGAGACTGTTCTTAAAATAACTGGGGCAAGAACAAGCTGAAGATTTTAATTTTGCATGATGTATAATGTCACATTTATAAATAAGTAACAAATTGGAGTCTCCCATGGTTCCCTTCTTCAGTTTTGACATACCTGCTGTAAACCAACATGGTCACAGAGAAAACAAGGTGTAAGGCTAAACAGGTTTATAGCCCTGCTTTGTGGAAAATAAAGCAATGGGAGGTGAACTAGAAGAGATAACTGGGATATATTCTGTTAGAAATAATTTTTCTTCAGAGTGAATATTTAAGACCTATTAAAAATGTCAGTGAGTTGAAGACAGAGATGAAGATGGGGCCAAACCACATCCTGAAATCCAATATGTCTTTTAAAAGAGGAAAAATGAAAACAGGAGATCAGCATTAAAATCCAGAATAATTGCGGATTTAGGAAGACTGAAGATTCCCATCATCCATGAGTTTTAACCCAGCAGCTTCTTCTGTCAGTAATGATTTCAACTCCATTTATCAGAAACCCAGAAAGTCTTAGTCCTTGGTGGTGTCTCTTCTCCTTTCATAGGTATTATCTTTGACTCAGATACTTGAATGCCTCGATATCCTTTGGGACCAGCTCCTGAGTGACTGGAGCATTAACAGCACTGCATTAAGTTGCCATATTCTCTGCCCAAGGGACAGTAATCCATGCCTCCTACCTGCAGGAAGAATGTCTTCATCAGCAAACAACGGTTATTCTGAAGCTGGAAGCTCTTGGCCTTCTTGTTAAGATGCTTTACTTTGTACAAAACAAACACTTTTACACTGAGATGGAACCAGTACTACCTGAGTTTCCTAACCACTTGTCTATACATCCATCTTCATGTATTTTCTGACACAACAGCATCCTCTGCAACAGGACAGCCTTCATCTCACAAGACTGTGAAGTTATGAGGGGAAAAGGTTAAAAAAAATCCTCCTTCTGTATTTGTCTGTAGAGGGGGCAGACGCTTACCTGGCTATTCCCGCACTTCACACAAGTAAGCTCTTGTTTCATGACTCCCAGAAGGACCTAAATAAGAGGCTGAAAGAAGGGGACCAGTACAGAACAACAGTGCCAAGAGTCAGGCGGATGTACACACTCATCTACAGAACTTTCAGTTTACAGTGCTTTTTGGTCAGGCCTGAGTGTCATTGTCAGTGTTTTCCCACATCTAATTTAAACACATGAAAAGGCATGTGAATGCTCATTTTCCCTTAAGAATCTGAACCTTAATGTACAGTGTATTAAACTCTGAAGTAGCTTGGGAAGTATTGAGATTGACATCAGGTAGTTAACAAATACTCATTGACCATTTGATGTTGCATACATGCATCTCTAAAATTCAACAGATACCTGGCATCAGTCACGCTCAGCCACTGACATGCAGCTAACTCCTTGTTACAATTGAGCG